ATTTAATAATTTATTAAACAAATTTTGCGAGTCCATATTTTTTTTTTTTTTTTTTTGAATTAATTTCCAACATGTTTTGCAGCCTTAATGCATTGTCAATAAAACCAAATTACATTTGGCAGAAATATGGAAAAATGGGCTGGTTTTCAATTTGCGATTTAAAAACAAAATTAAAAATGAAGAACTGGTCATAAAAATATTCGGCTGCCAATAAACCAAGCAAATTAGTAAAATCTTACAGATTTAAAAAAAATTTATTAAGAAATTTTGGCGACTGAAGTGCATCACATTTACGAGGCAAAAACTTCAACTAAAAGTGATAATTAAAAAAAAAATCTTAGTTGCAATTTCTCACTAACAACTACAAATAGCTAAATAACGCATTTTCGGTTTATTTAGATTTTATTTTATACTTTTTTATTTTAATGCAAATAGTCATAAACGTTAAGATACGCAAAACGAAAAACTTTTTCTCTAAAAATAAACAGAATACAAAAGCCACAATGGCATAATCGCAAATATGTACTGTGAAAATGTTTTCTTCTTTATCTCATAAAATATTAAATGAAATACTAAACAAAAAAGAAAAAAACACTAAAATAAAAATTGATATTTTCAAGTTGCATCTGTCAGTGGCAGCAATTTTACATTGAAACATCGAAGTATCTGACAATTTCGCAAGATACTTTTATGAGCAACGCATACGTTCGCTGGTCGGCGTATTTACATTTGCCTTAACATTCGTTAGCAAATAAATTACACTTAATCTCAATGAATGATGTAAACATTTGCACTAGAAAATGATTCTGTTTTTAGTATCTTTTCATTGACATTTAATTTGTAATTGTATACTCCACTACAGACACTTCCAAAGATACCAGATACGCGTATGCAAATGCGACATATGATGTCACTGCCTTACAAAGTAAAGAGAACGGCTACAGAAATCTACAAAATCTACAAAATCTACTTAACATTCAATTCATTTTTCATTTTTCAATTTTGTAGCGCGATCGTATCACATCTGTGTTTAGCCAAATTAATCTATTTTTTATATTTTTTTTTATTTGTAACTTTACTTTTAGGCCAAACTTAATTTTATTAAGCTCGCCTTAAACATAATCTTTTTTGGTTGCTGGATGTTTTTTGGTTTTTTGTACTTATTTTTCAAATCAAACTTTTCATTGAAACTCGTTAATTTTCGTGCACAAAACTTCACACCTTTAAGGTTTTCTACAGATACTTGATAGGCCGAGTTTATCTCAAATTACAAAATCTATTTTACATATCAAATTTATTAATCCAATAAAAGTAAATATTGTAAATTTTTGTGTGAGTCTTTGAAAAATTTTCCAGAGCTTAAACATTTTTTTAAATTTATTTTTGTTATTCTAAAGTTTAAAAAAAAGTTATTTACATCAACTAAAACCCTACAGAGTTTATTGAGGAAAAATATGATCTTACAAACGAGACTACATTAGTAAAATATCTGTTAAAGTATTTCACTATGAATAGAAACATTAATATTAGTTTACACTGTTTTTGAATAAGAACTGTGGCTACTCAAACTACCTATAATGTTATACAATGATAAGTCATACCTTCACAAAAGCTTTATTAGGACTATAGGTTGTTTTTCGAGAGTAGCAGAAGATAGGGATAGATGGAGGCAGATCGTGAGGGAGGCCAAAGTTCATACTGGACTCTAGTGCCAAATAAGAAGAGAAGAATATAAGTTATTTTCCAAACTGAGGTCAGGCTTTATTGTGGCTATATTCTTTTTCTACTTCTTCTTGGTTCCGTTAACTTCTCGTAAAGCATAGAGTCTCAAGTTTGAGAAGCTAGGTACTATAATAAAGGTGTTATCGGAATATGTTGCTACAGTTGCATTACTTAAGGCACACATAACAACTATAAACAGTATGTGTAGAATGGGTCCCAAGATACTTCATTGTGGACCACTTACACTTATGAGTAGCTGCATTTATAAGATGTTTCAATTTTTGACTGTACAAATATCGTTTATTAAAGGATAACTTTCTTAGTAAATAGTGTGAATGAAGATCATACTGTTGCGAGGGAACGGTATGAAATATATCGAAACGACAACGAGGAAAAAGTAGTCGTCGGTCAACTCGCAAAGCAACAACAGGTCGGATGTCGTGATTCGCGGCAGTCATATTCATTTAGCAATGTATTTTAATCTTTAATAATTCAACACAAATAAAATAGTAGAAGTATTAAGTGTTTAAATATTTACTTTACAATAGTGTGGAAAAGAAATTTATTATTTTAATTTGAACTATGTGCCATTCTACTTAATTCTCTCAAAAGCCTCACGAACATCTAGAAATGATTTTTGGAATATCTATAGCTTGTTAAGCCTATTTCAATATCATCAATTATTTTGTAGGAAAATAGCAAAAATCACATTATTTACCGGTACTTAAGATTTAGGCCTCACTTCCATAGAACCCCTCATTACAATCTACAATTACAATCTTGTCATTCACAAACAAAAGTTAATATATGACCATATTTTGCGACACGCAAATTGGAATTGGGTTTATATTTCTTCAACAGCCAGGTCAAGAACTACTCTTATACCTCAAATATATAACCATGGACTTAGTACATGAAAAAAAACCAGAAATATCGAATATAATATCAATACGTTCTGGATACTGAATTTTAGGACGGTATGGCGCTAAGCTCAATCTACTCTATCCAATATCCTACTGACACTCAAGGAGGTGACTTCGGAGAGCACCTGTTTTGTGTATGTTTTAGCTTATCGAAAACCAAGTTTAAATTTTTGGGTACTCCTTTCTTTAATACACGCTGCGGTATTTCCAACATTAGTATTGGTCTGTTTTTTTTTTGTTGTTATTTACTGATTATTTACTGATACTCCTGATTTTGCGTCCACATCCTAAGACAACTATTAACAGGTTCAAAAATAATACCTTTGATTTAATTTTTTCTATCATTAAAGCTATTTCTATATATAAAACCAAAAATATTTTTTTAAATGCCCTACATCAAGCACCTATGTCTATATATTTTTATATTTGTATATTTATTTCTATATTTATTTTATATATTTTATATGATTTCACAATGTTTTCACTGAAGAAAAGTCGCTTGAAAGCATAAAGCCATTAAAAATTTCCTACCCCCAAAAGTTTTGCACCATATAGTAGCGTCCTGAGAATAAATATGGCCTATGTACTGTTCTGCTGTAAAGCACTTTATGACTAGAATCATCAAAATCCCCTGATGATATCTGTAAGAAATATAAATATACAAAGATGAGTAACTTCTTGACATTTACTTAATTTCTATTGGTAGTATATGGTATTACAATTATCTAAGTATATACATATTATATATACATATGCTATTATCTTTATCTCTACACATGTGTCTAGAGATCTTACCATTTAATACAAATTATAGAAACATCAGATGTAGGACTTGTATTATATTTTTTACCAATTGAGAAAATTTGAGTTTATTTATTTCTACATCTATTTCTATTTATTTAAGGAAACTCTTTTAACGAGTGTCTCTCTTTGGTGAATAACTTTTCAAAGATCAAATAGAAATATCCCCCTCTCTTGAGAGGGTTAACTGCCCGAATGCCTCTCTTGTAAAAGCAAAACTTGACTAGCGATAAATGACCGTAAAAAAGTTTCCACTGTATTTACCTTGCTTTACCTAATATCTGGAATAAGACCTACTTAAAACAGCCTTACTTTATTTATGCTTCATTATATAAATGCATCGAAACTATCTTGTAAAACAAAAAATAGTGGAATTAATATTTCTAATAGATAAAAAAAAAACTAGAGCTTCTATAAAAATTCAAGGCTCCACTATACTTATCGCTGACATTTACAAATCAAACAAAAAGCGAGCATTGCCTCTAATCTCTTTCAATTGCTGGGCTTTAATAAAAATAAAGCATAATTTATGACCGCCATTTCAGATAGTTTTTCAAGTGATAAACATAATAGCCGCAATTATCTGAACATTAGTCAATCATAAACTGTAATAGCTCAGTTTTATTGATAATGAATTATTGAAATTACTACGAGCAATTAATTTTAATTTATTTTTTGTTTGCACTGAATTATGGAATTGCAAACGTAAAACTGACCAGGCAATTTGATTTTAAATTGAGCAAATTTTGATAACGTCCGTCTGTGCCGTCTGCACTAGACAAGTCCATTCAATATACATTGTTGCAAAATTATTAATCTTTTATTTGCAGTTCTATTTAAATTCAATAGCAGATTGCATATAATTGCAGGCTTAAGTTGTTGGGTGTGACTACTACTTCTGTCATGGGAATGAAATGCTATTAAATGCCACTAAGCACTCAATTTCCGTAAAATTTATTAAACCTTTGAAATTACATGATTATTAAAAACTGATAAATAATATGATTTTTATATAAACAAAACAAAAAAAAAATAAAACATATTTGTTTATATCATTATTTTGAAAAATATTGTTTTTAAGTTGTTATACTAATTATGAATTATTTTTTATATTTTTCAGATAAGCGCTAGTAAATGCTTGGAAGCCGCATAATTTAGAGGTGGGTTCGCAGTTTATGTTATTAACTATAATTATTATATATGTTACTATATTACTGATAGCTTTATTAAAAAATTTTAACCTATATTTTTATACCGTCTTAAATTACATATCAAATTTTTTTAAGATAAAGAGATGTAAAAATGTTAACATATGGCATGCAGTTCTTGCAGTCTCCTCAATTAATAATTTTTTTTTACTTTATATTATCATGATCGATGTTTCTAAAATATTTATTGTCTCACTTATTGTTAGATATTACTAAAAGTTTATACATTTTGTAAACAGTTACTTTAATTTTTTATTAGGAATGTATACCTTCCTCTCAAAAAGTATCGGGATTTTGTTTGTTAACTACTCCTTAAATAATAGACCTTTTTTTGTTTTGTTGGTGCACTCTTGACATATGGTACAAATTTGAGCTCCATCAGTCAATTAGTTTGTTTACAGCAGCTGTTAATGTGAGATTACCTCAAGTGCATTTAGCGATTTTTACTATGGAAAATTTTTGTACGCGATTTTTTGACCAAACTCGGCATCACTGTCATCGCTCAGGCACCATATTCGTCAAATCTGGATCCATGCGACTTTTTCCTATTCCTGAAACTCAAATTGCCCCTTTGTGGTAAGCGTTTTGAGTCGATTGAATCGGTAAAAGAGAATTCGCTGAAGGAACTAAAAGCCATACCTGCACGGGCCTACGAAAAATGTATGGTAGATTGGGTTAAGCGTTGGCATATGTGTATCGCTTCACAAGGAGCATATTTTGAAGGAGATAAAATAAATTTGGAATAAAATTTAAATTTGTGTTTTATTTACAAAATCCGGGTACTTTTTGAGCTGGAGGTGTAATAAAATGAATTGGTTTTTGTTGTTAAGTACACAAACTAAAAACGCTAAATCGTTTGGGATATAATGTTAAAAAATGTTCGTCATATGCAGACCAGAATAATTACCGGAAAGACTACAATGATCATCGTACGAGCAACGCAAAAAGGTACAATTTCCCTAATCAAGCAAAAGTAAACCAACCTGAAAAGTATACAGACTTGACCAAATCTCTATTTTCGCAGTATGTTAGTTCTGTCAGGTCGTTAAAGAAAGCGGCGTTAAAGAGTTTAAGCTTCTCCTAGCCAATAATGTATACTGACACATGAGATTGAGTGCAATTTCCTCCTCATCCGCATAGTCGCGGATGACAAAAGTCAGTATAGGGTCGACCCAGTCTTATAGCATGTGTTTCTAGTACTATACATAGTGACCATAGTGCTAAGCAGGTTACACTTTAATTTATGAAGCTAACTGGTGCGTTTCCTGTAATGTTGTGTATAGAGTTAAATATAAATTAAGTAAAGTTGCTATAAAAAGTCTTGAGACTTTCCTTTTTTTACTAAAAGAATTCAACATTCTATTCACAATTGCCTTTTACTTTCTTTTCTAGTTATGAAAAATTCTATTATGGTACATTTTTATTAATTAGTAAAGTAGTTAAGGCGAATATTATTATTTATTGCAATGAAATATAAAATATATAAAGCTTCTTAATCTATTCATACGAGGGCGGTTTGATAAGTCAGTGACTTTTTGAATAAAACAAGTTTTTTTCGCCAAATAAACATTTTATTTTTTTACATAATCACCTCTTAGCTCAATACATTTAGTCTAGCGTTTTTCTAATTTTCTTATTCCCTCCAAATAATTAGTTTTCTCAAAGCTCTCAAAATACGCGTTTGTTTCGGTAATGACTTCTTCATTCGACTCAAATCTCTTACCGTCCAGCCATTTCTTTAGGTTTGGAAACAGAAAATAGTCACAGGGGACAATAAACAATCTGTAGAATATGCTAGATGGAGTAGCAGTTCGTATCCCAATTCGTGGATTTTGGCCATCCTGATTTAATCAGCACACGAAATTCACTTTTTTTCATTTATGTAAACATTCACGAGGTTGTCCGCTTTGAACGGCTATCAAACACCAACTGAACGACGTAGCTTGCTCAATATTAGACAGTTGCCCACTGGTAGATTACAGCTGCCGGCAGCACTGTTGCATTTGGAGTAACTGTGCGAGAAATTAAAAAAGTCACTGACTTATCAAACCGCCCTCGTATAATGAAAAATATTATTTTTATTTAAATTACATTGTAGTCTTTTAATTATAACCTTAATTTAGTTTAATTTGATAAGATATTGGGATTCTAACTATTTATTTCTAAATATTTTTCAACATCTCATAAATTACCACATAACTTTTTTTTTAATTTATGATTCTTTATTACTTTTTTCGAATAATTTTATTATAAATAGCACGCTGAGCATAATCATATTTAATATGATTGAATATGAATGTTTAATCATAATATTTTTTCTAAATCCTCTAAATACTATAATTTCATAACTATGCTTTTCGATGCTCTTCACTCAATGATAAACTTTTACTATCAGTAATGGTTAGTATAATTTTCATATTCGATTTACTTCAATTTAATTTTTGTAAAAAAAGCAAATATATAAAAAAGCTGTAAAACTCAAAATGGTTATTAGAATTTATTAAAATGCATTCTCGATTGAATCCAATGTTCATTCATAACAAATTATTACAAATATTTCCGATATAGTCAATTGAACTCACTCACTTCAACTACTTGTTTTTCAATTTTACAGCACAATTGCATTTACTCTTGCGTGCACTGCCATTTCAATAAAAATAAAATAAAATCATGGAATATAAAATTTTCCACAAATTTCACAAATTCCCCAAATCTCTGCACATAAACCTAAACCGAAGTTTTGCAAAATAAACTTACCGCAAAGTTTTTGAAAACTCAAGCATATGAAAGCATAAAAGTTGCACGAAATGTCAAAAGTGTGACAATAGAATCTTTCCAGTTTAAATGCTAAAAATGAGACTATCTCTACTTTTCAAGCTCTTTTGACATTTTCCAGTTCACTTCACTGAATAAAACTTCAAATTAAATTAATATGTCAGATATTACAAACTGTTATTGTACATAATCTCAAATAATGCTGATTAAATTAACTCTTCGCTGCATGCGACCACATGACGTATGAGTAACATTTTTTAGCTGCATAAAGTAGTCAAATTTTTATTAAGTATAAAGTAACATATTCATTTAATAAAATAAATACGTTTATGGCTTGACTTCAATTCGCATTTAAACTTTTATTTAATTTGTTTGGAAATCCCATTTGACTTTCGGGATTCATTGGCTGTATTTGTATGAAGAAATTTATGGAGAGCAATGAATCCTTAAAACAGCGGCTCAGTTCAACTTCCATGCGGCTTACAGTTTAAATGCAGCCACTCTGTCTCTGTATGTAATGTAGCTGAGAATTTATGCTTCTCCGCTGGTATTTGCCCTTTTAGTATTTGTTTTAGCAGCAATTTGTGCTGCAATTTATTGCTGCTATTTTTTATGTTGAGCATAAAAAATTGTTAAATTTAAATTGAAATGTTTACGCTTTGAATTCATGGCCACATCCTTTACCCGTATAGGCAAATGCAAGAACCTCCCTATAAAAATTCTTTGCTATTATATAGTGTATTAAAATTCTACTTTTCATACATTTTTATTATTTATTTTCAATTTTAAAACTGTGATATATGCTTCAATTGCAATATAAATAAAGTGAGTGTCAGTGTAAGCAGAGCCGGCTTTAACACTACCGGCGCCCCTAGCTACTATTGAAAATCATGTAAAAAAGCGAAAAAAAATATAAATATATTAGTAATATAAATAAAGTGAGTGTCAGTGTAACAGAGCCGGTTTTAAAACTACCGGCGCCCCTAGCTACTATTGAAAATCATGTAAAAAAGGGGGAAAAGAAAATTATATGGAATGATAACAATACTGAAATTATAAAATAATACTTTGTCATAAAAATACTTTTTATTATACGTACTTTTTATTTATTAATTAATACGATTATTCTACAGCTGGTTTATGATTTCGTTCTAATATGACACAGCAAGTGTATTTGTTAATAAACTTTGACAGCAAATTAACAAAACTCCAGAAAAAAGTGCGAGCATACAAGTCAAGTATGGCTTTGGGTCAGTGGGTTAATGAACGCTGACTCTGAGCTTCAAATTTGGCGGGGCACGAGTTCAACTCTTGATACTTGCAGTCTCAAAAAATTATTTACGAATAATTATGATGATAAGTATTTCCGCTAAAAATTAAATTAATTAAAAATTATAATTAGACGGATTTGAATAGCAAAGAAAAGACAAGGACAAATATTTTATTTTTTAATTTATTGAAATTTAGCTGACCATAAAACTAATAGTATAAATTTGAAAACAACAAAGCATAATTTTTTTACGTCGATCTGGCGCTCCTTTACTTTTTCGCCCCTGGGCCTTCTCCCCATCTCGTCCACCCCTAACACCGATACTGAGTGTAACATAAGTATCTTTATATCTTTAATGCATTGCTGACATTCTCTCATGTAAACTTTAAACAGATTAAATATTTGGTTGGTTTTCATTTTAAATCCCTCATTTCCGATTTAAAGCATTTTTGACCTGTTTTCTTTTCGCATCCATAATATATCCTTTTTTAACTTTTTGCTCGGGAACTTTTGTTTTATTGTTGCTTTGTGATTGTAATTTTTTTTTTTCACTTATCAACTTTTGTTACAAAACGCGCAATTATCATAATTTCATTCTTACATTTGCCTTAACTAAACTTATTAACCATTTTTCTTTCCTTGCTCCTACTTCTCTCTGAACGAACTACAATGGAAATGTTAAATGCTTTGATGATTGTAGGGAATGCAAACATTTTAAGCATTGCAAATCCCTAGAGAAGTCACAAAACCTAGAAATTTTTCTTTGATATTTTAATGCAGTGCTTGTGATGAATTAAATCTTTCATTATCTTGTCATTATTACCGTTTTCTTGCTAATATTCAGTAATGAAAAATTAATGTTTATTTAATGTTGTCTTTAGGAAAGCTAATTTGAAATAAAGAAAAA